AGACAGAAACTGGTCCATCCAAAAGAGTAACACCCAAACAGAAGCTCAGTGGGGTCATGAGGACTATCCAGATCTTTACTTTGGGGAAACTAAACAACAATTACACAAGCGCATGGCACAACACCGGAGAGCCGCCTCTTCAGGTCAGGACTCTGCAGTCCACTTACCCCTGAAGGACAAGGGACACACTTTTGAAGATGACAAAGTCCACATTCTGGAGAGAGAAGATAGATGGTTTGAGAGAGGAGTAAAGGAAGCTGTCAAAGTCAAATGTGAAAAACCTTCTTTAAATAGGGGAGGGAGGCTTAGGTTTCACCTTTCCAGTACCTGTAAAGCCGGGCGGTCACTGTGCGACTTTTTCACTTTTTTGAGCCGATTTTCCAGTCGTGCGAGAATCCACGACATCGGGGCGAGTTTTGCGCCGAGCGGTCGTGTAGTGTACAGGGGGTTACGAGAGGCGATTAACACCACGTGACCAGCTGCCGATCAGCAGTCGTGAGGTCGCACGTACTTCTGGCGTGTTTAAAATTTCGCTTGTCACTCGTGAGAGTATCGCACTGTTGAAGCGGCGCTGCGAGCAGCTGCGACCCAAAAAGTTTCAGAACCGCTCACGGCGCATGCGCAATCCTGCATCAACACCGCTCGCTATTTCCCTAATAACACACGCTGTTCGTTTTTATTTCTACACATTTTTTTTTACTCACAACGATTGTCAAGAAAGCATGTTTGTCGTGTTCGTGTCAAATTAAGCTGATCACAAAACACAGATTTACTTTCTTTATTTCGTTTTCCTCATCCAACCCCCATAAATCCCTGTGTGTCCTCCTGCAGCACTCCCGAAGGACAACAGGCAAAACAAGACAAAAAAGTCTGACGTGTTGTGTAAAAACTGCTATTTTTAGCATATTTTTAGGGCCGACGTGTTGCTACCAGACGTACAGTGTGAGCAGTCAGGTCGCATGCGAGAACTGGGTCGTGCAGTGTGAGCGCATGACTCGTGAGATCTGCTCTGCGAGGAAGTCGTACAGTTTGAGCTGAAGCTGAGTGCTACGAGTGAAAAAGTCACACAGTGTACGCCCGGCCTAATTCTGCTTTGAATCTCATTCCAGGTCACACGTTCCTGCATCTAATCAACACAACGACTCCCTCACAAAAGAGGCTAACGACTCATAAGGGGCTTGGAGAAGGGGGATTCAGTAGGGATGTCCCACTACAACTTTTTTCACTTCCGATACGATACAGATATTGTAGCCTTCAGTATTGGCCGATACCGATATGATATCTGCACAAATCATTCATACTTTTACCCAACTCATAGTGTGGAGCAGGCTTGATGAAGTGATTTAACTCAAACAGAAAACAAAAGCCAGCAACAGTAAGTATAAAAAACTGACCAGTCTTTTATTAACCTTTGGTTACATGAATGTGAACAGCTGAGGTTAGGGACATAAGGAAAAAACACAATATTGTCCACTGACCAACCGCTACAAGTTGAATGTCTAAAGTTTCAATTTCACACACCGAGAAAATCCACAAGCAGTGTTTGTGATCCTGCTTCAAACGCACAATGAGGTTGGACGTATTAATCTTCCCGGGTTCTCTTCCACCACGGTAAACTCGTGCATGACGAGTGTTGCACCGAGCCAAACTGTCTTTTTCAGACTTTAACGAAAAATACCGCCACGTGGCCGACATTGTTCCATGCTACTTTGCTAGCACACACCATTCTGATCACATGAACTTTGCATGCTGGATCTGGGCGCTGATGGATAGAGTTGCTGGAATGAAATTTAAAGTGGAACAAACTGCTAAGTTTTTTGATGCAGTCCGATATAATCTGATTCAGTGTTTTTGGACCGAAATCCGATACCAATATCAGAACGGGAGTATTCAGATGTAATATCTGCTCGTTACGCAACAATAGACAGCTACAGCTTACAAGCTACACTCTCCCATATTCCAGTCAGAAATGACAAAGCTCCTCGGATGAGAAGTGAAGGAGTCCAGAAGCCTTAATTTGAACCCTTTTAGATTACCATGACTTGGATGACTGAGAACTTTAACCACCAAGAAAATACAATTTACAATATTCTGAGTTTTGTTAGACAAGGCAGTGGAAAGGTGGGGTCGCTAGCTAGTCCCACTCTGATAAACATTCTGATAAATTTCTACCCTCTGAAAGAGAAGCGCCAGAGCTTTTATTTCCCACAGAAAAACCACTCAAGGCATTAATTCATAGTAAAGATGGGTGAATGCGACCTTTATTGGAAAGGCTGCTCAACTGTTTTGTTGTATAAAACACACAAACAATAATTATTTATCTAAAACTTTAACCAAGAGGATATCTAAAGCTTTGCTCTCTTCCAGATCTCCACACTTTGCTCCGGGCTTTTCCTTTCTAATAAAAGAAGCCTTCAGAAGGTCATCTGTCATTCCTGACAGTTGCTTTAAATCTCTCTGATCCAGACAGCTTTATAAACAACCTGAGCCCTTTTACAGATGAAGCTGTAGCTCATCTTCAGACTCGAGCTGTAAATCCTGCAACAATTTCTGCCATGCAGCATTTCAGCAGGGAAAGGACGGGGCAAGACTGGGAAAATGCTCGTTTGTCATCTGTACCAGTCAGATGTCCATAGAAGTAATTCAGACTTCATGTCGGATGAGTTTTAACATCCTTCGGTCACAAACAGCAGCGATAACGAAGGCAGAGTCATTTCCACTGACGGCCTCCATCACGATGAATGACGGCGGTAACTCGGGGGGCCTTTTCTGGGCTTGTATTATCAGCAGATGCCACTGACAGGATGAAATGCGATCCTGGTACTTATGACATGTTTTCCACCATTTGCCATTGTAGCCCAGTGAATAACACATCAGTGAGCGTTCAACACAAGCCGGCGGTAATTTTAGAAATTCCTGACGTGGCGAGTTTAGCTGCAGACACTAAACACGGTCGGGGAAAGTTGTTGTTATTTATTGCCAAAATTCCCAAATAAATGAACAACAGACATGAACAAACGAGCTCGAGAAGGAAAACAAGCAGCAGGCGGTTATTTGTGAAACATCAGCAGCGATTAGCAGTGACTTGTACATTCAGCAGAGAGACTCCGACCAGGCTTTGTGCGTATTAATTCTTCCTGCGTTTTATTTTTTCCTCTCTTCTTTCTGTCCTCCTTCAACAGTCCTCCACCCCATTATCCGCCTCTCTCAGCTCGTCTTCTAAGGCTGTAATCACCAGGCTTACACTTCGCTGTCACACTGTTCCAGCGTTAACGCGTGCACTTGTGTTTTTCTCTGGCTATTTGTCTCTGCATGTCCTCTACATGGTAACATGTACATGTGTGAGGAATGCGTGTTGGACATATGTGCATATCAGTGTTTGTGCTTCTTTACTGTCATGCATTCCTGTCAAACAGAACAGTGTCTTCTGAGACGATGCTCTGCATGATGTCAAATTCTGCAATCGCACAGTGGGTGGAAATAAGTCGGTTCGTCATAAAGAGGGAAAAGTGTCAAATTTTTTAACGCCTCATTCACTCATTTTTACAGTGAATGTGCAGTGGTAAGTAGTATAAAGTCATTTTCTGTAGAAAGAAGCTCAGGCGCTCCTGTTTCAGGGAGTGGAAGTTTGTGTAGGGAGTGGAAAACAGAAGAATTTGGAGTCTTGCTCATTAATGTTTATGATATTCAAATGTATCACCTCTGATTGGCTAACAGCAATGCAACTCTTGCACTGCTTTCGTTTAGAAAACTCATATTAGTGTTAGACTAAAATGACTTCACAGATGCAGCCTCATCTGTTCCATCCTGAGTCCGAGGAGGAGGGAGAAGTAAGGACCGCCTCCTGATCGTTTGCATATAAATTAATATTTTCTCCTAAAAGAGTGGAAAGTTTTGGGTTATTGTCAAAATGATTTAAGTTGCAACAAACAGTCGGAAATACAGAAATAAATTAATACAGAAGACAACATTTTAAAAAGTACTTAAAGGACAAGTCTCCCCCAAATCTACTTCTTTCTCTGATGAATTATATAAATGCGTGTCTAGTCGTGCTGCAGACACGTGTAGTCAATAGTTTTGCACTTTAGTGCATTTTAGTTAAAATTTAAATTTTCTGCCTAAAATTGTCAGTGTTGTGCCGTTGTCAGGTAAAACCTCTGCACTGCATTTGAATTTAAATCTGCCATCGCTATTGGCTAAGAGGTACCCTAGAATGTTAGCTGGTACCATATGATGTCACAATGTCGTTGTGAGCCTGTGTGTGTGTGTTTGTTAGCGGCTCTGCCCTCGATCTGCTAGACAACAGCATTTGTTGCATTTTTCAAACAGGAAGTGGGACTCTGGTAGGGGGTGACTTGCTCTTTAAGTAATTGAACAGGACTTTTTTCATAAATCTTTTTAGGGGAGCTCAAACGGCCTGTGTCATATTTTATACCTTCCAGAGCAACTTTAGGCACAATATATGATAAAATATTGCATTTGGTACTATTGAGACCTCTTTTTGTATGAAGCATCAGTTATTTTTGTGAATCGTTCCTTCATCCTGGAAATAAGAGGCTTGGATTTGATGAAGCCCCGCCTCCCCAGTGTGATTTCCACAATAGTTCACAGCTGCAGACCCAGCGGCTGCAGATTCATGTTTGCTGCAGATTCCAATCATAAAAGCTATGTTTGTTTGTTTACTTGTTTTGGTGTATCTGTGAAATTAAACGTAAAGGAATTTCTCCAGATGAGTTTTTTGATGAATTATTTAATTTTACAGGCTAAAAAAGTTATTTTATTTCCAGCATTTTTCCCATCAGTGATCATTTGCAGCACAAACCCTTCAGAAGCAGCACTTTACTTTGTGAAACTGTAATTTTTCCACATGCAGGTTTTAAAGCCGTTCATATAAAAACTAAAAAATAAGCTCCAGTCTCAAAAAAGTCATTTTATATACAAACAAGCTTTTTTAACAAGTGATTGTATTTACGTATTTCTCTGTATTTTCTGCTTTTCAGATCACCAGAAGTTGGAGCGAGAGGCTCGGATTTGTCGCCTTTTAAAACACCCCAACATCGGTGAGAACGTCTTTGCTTTTTTCTCCTTAACACCACTTCTGCAAAGTAAAGCATCATTTTACCTTTTACATTTCACCAGTTTGTTGAATTTTACCTGAATTCAAGCTGAATTGAATACAATATTAACCACGTCTCAGATCAAATGACTCGTCGTATTGCCAGAGCTTTGTCACATGTTGTAAATCTACAATTGTAGACTCCATTATTAAGACTCCCCGTCGTTTCTTTCTCTCACACACTTTCACTGCTTCTTTGAATCTCCAGCAGTGATACCCAACGTTATTCAGAGGCAGTTTAATAGAGCTTTGCATCTTTACAGAGACGTAGAGTTAATAATAAAACGCAGTAAAATAATGATGACTGCAGCGAGCGTTCATCTCCATCTGCTTCTCTTTCAGTCCGTCTTCATGACAGCATATCAGAGGAGGGCTTCCACTACCTCCTGTTTGACTTGTAAGTCATCCTCTCTCCTACCTCCTCCCTGATTCCCATGTCCTCTGCACATACACCATTACATAACTCTCGCCTATATTTACCCCATCACCGTCACCACCCACACCCTCTGCATCCAGCTCTCAGCGATTCCCTTTAGTTTCCATGGTAACAGTGTGGGAAGGGGGGAGTGGAGGGGAGGTCTGGGGGAAGATGGGGAGCCATAATTAAAAAAAAAAACACGACAATGATGAAGGAATTATTTTCGTGGATTCTTTAATGGTTGTTTTGTATAACCTTTATAATAAATATATGTGTGTGTGTGTGTGTGTGTGTGTGTGTGTGTGTGTGTGTGTGTGTGTGTGTGTGTGTGTGTGTGTGTGTGTTAACACAGGGTTACCGGAGGTGAACTGTTCGAGGACATCGTAGCCAGAGAGTATTACAGCGAGGCCGACGCCAGGTAGGGGTGTGTCCTTCACCTCCGTTTGTCCTTGTCTTCTGTTGTATCCTCTCGTTTTTCTCCTGTTCTTGTAGTTTTTGTGAATTTCCCTCCCTTTTTATGTACCTCTGCTTTCCTTTGACTCATTTCATCCTGTTTACATGCATTTTCTTTTTCGGCATTTTGTTTTTATTGCTTATTTCTGTCCCTCGTTTCTTTTTCTCTCTTTCTAACTTCATCTCCCGCCTCACTGTTTGTTTTCTTTGTGCTTTTGTTCCTTTTTCCACTTTTTTATTTTGCATTTTTATGACATCACTAGCCCAACACTGACACCGGAGTCACCATTGTGAGGTTTGACCAATATCAGTTTGAAGTTTTCACGTTTCCAAACACGACTGACAATAATTTACTAGGTTTTGTTAAATAAAACGTGTGTTAATAACGATATAAAATGTAGAAACAAAGACTTGTCACTGCAAAATATAGAAGAATTATAATAATATTTATGTATTAAACTGACATATTGGTTCACTGAGTTAAAACATTATCTAAAATAATAATTAGATGCATGTTCGGGATCTTAATTTACAGCAAGCTATGAAAAACCTCCTGTCTGGCATGTATGCAACTGTCTGCTTTCTCTGCAAACTCTTATAGGCCACACTTTAGTTTTATTCCTTTTAAAGTGACAATGTGTATTTTTTCTGGCAATTGGGAGCAGTACATACCTGAATCATTTCAAGCAAGCAGTATTCAGACCTGCCAACCTGTACGCATTTTGCGTAGCCAGTACGCAATATGGCATCTATTTACGCTGGTAGACTCACCCCTCTAAACTACGTAAAAAGCTGCGGGTACGTGAGTTGAGTTCTGTGGCAAACATGCACGTGTGGTACTCATGTCTGACAACACGACTCAGCGGTGTGGTGAAGAAGTTTAAGAAAATCATCGTAGAGAAGCAGAGAAAACCTATCCTGCCTATCCTGCGTATCACCCCCGCCCCCCTCCTCCCTGCTTCGTCCTGCCCACTGCTCCTCTCTCCCTCCGGTTCACCACTCGCTGCTGTTCTGGTAAGGTAAACTGTGTGTGTGTGTGTGTGTGTGTGTGTGTGTGTCCATTGCAGATAGATTTGGCCTGTATATAAGGAGGAATGTGATTATTTACCGTAATTTCTGGACTATTGACCCTTTGCACCGACGTCACCCAATCATGTGGGTCCACCATACTGGAAGGCAAAAGCATGTAAACAGCGAGCGACACGAGTACTAAACAAAGGGAAAAGTAGATCTTTAGCATTCACTGTACTAGCTCAAGCTCAGTTCAGTTATCAGAAGAAGTAGCGCACCTAGATGGGACTCACAGAGAGCGGTATTTACAAAAGTTAAGTGTTATTAACTAGCTTGCGAACATTAGCGTAAGTTCTCTCTGCAGCTGTTCACCGATGTAAACAAGCTGCCTACTTAGCCTAAATTCACCCGACTGGATTTATAACATTATGTTATAAACAGTGTTTCACTTTACACCGCAGCTGATTTTTGAAAAGTCTGGATCCCTTCTGGTTTTTGTTGCTGGTGGTGTCACCTGGTTCAGCTGCTGCTCTCACACCGGGATGAGAAGATCTCCGAACGGCAACGCTTGTACTAAATAACGTAATTTTAACACAGGTAATCATACATTGGAATAGTACTACTGTACATAATTATCTCGCATGTCACTAAAGTGGAAGGTACTACTGTCTCTGGTACCGTGCGTCCTCAATGGTGAAATATCCATCCATCAGAACGCATCACATTTGCCCTTTTTCTTCCTCATGAAATAAATAAACGTTAATCTTACCCGGTAAAATCACGTTCGCTGTAAGCCTGAGGGCTGCTAGTCCATTTGATGGATCCCTGCAGTTCATCTCCGTCCTCAGTCTCGATCAACGTTATTTGAAAAAACCAAAACGAGTTGACTTTACATCCTTGTCTGTTAGTGCAGCCAGCAAGTAGTTGCCATTTTACTGTGAAATCAACTAAATAAGGCGATACAATGCTACAGACGGGCTTGTTTTGACTAGCTTCAATGGAGTTTTAACGGGTGTAAATGGTCTTTTTGCCATCCATCATGGCGAACGGGGCGGTCCCATGAGTGGCGTGACGTCACATGCAAAGGGTCAGTAGAGCGCACCTGAATATAAGCCGCACCGGGCTAAGAGCCGCAGATATCTACTGAATAGAAAACGTAGTTTAACTGAACATAACTGAACTGATCAGTATCAAACAAAACAGAAAAGTTAGTTTATTCATCGTCCTCCTGCGCACTGAAACCACTGAAGTCATCTTCAGTGTTGGAGTTGAACAGCCTCAGAAGAGCTTCGTCACATACCTTTTCTGTGGCGATGTCAGTGTCGCTGTCCGTGTTGCTGTCTTCATCCCGGGGTGAAGCTGGGAAAACAAGCAGCGCCGTTTTACTGTGGAAAAAAATCCTCCTGGGCGCTTTCCGTAGCGCTCCTTTAACCATTCCTTCTACCGGATCACCCCAGGGTTGTGTTTTGTCCCCCTTCTTGTATATTTTATACACCAACATGTGCCGAAGCAAACATGAAAGAAGGACAATTATTAAATATGCTGATGATTCGGTAGTAGTAAGTCTCCTGAGAGAAGGGGAATACAGCCATGGACCTGTTCTTGAGGATTTTATCTCTTGGTGTGATGAATCACATCAACAGCTTAATGTAATTAAAACAAAAGATATGATCATCGGTTTTAGAAGGAAGCCACAACAATAGCATGATCTTTCCATAATTAAAGGTCAAACTATTGATTAAGTGAAATCATTTAAATATTTGGGGACAATTATTGACAGGGAGCTGAATTTTGAGGAAAACTGTGATGCTGTGGGTGAGAAAGGCCAGCAGCGTTTGTACTGCCTTAGAAAACTGGCCTCATTCCATGTGGACAGGACTATAATGTCCATGTTTTATTGTTCTTTTATTGAAATGGTTTTATCCTTTTCTTTAGCCTCATGGTTTGGTCAGGCCAATCTTAAGCAAAAGGAAACGCTAAACAGGATAGTAAAGTGGTCGGGTCGTCTGCTCGGAAAACCAGGGAAAATTGTGGCACAACTGTACAGTGGACAGGTAGAGAGGATTGCTAAAGCTATTGTTAGGGACACGGGACGCCCACTGCATGGCCAGTTTACTCTCCTGCCATCTGGACGGAGACTAAAGCTTGGTTTATGCTTGACGCATTCACTTTCCGCTTAGTGATGCGGCTCGCGGATGGAACGCGCTTCACAACTCGCAGCGTTTATGGTTCATGCGGCTCGTCTCTGCGGTGAGCCAATATTCTCCCAAACTGTAGGGGGCAGCATGGAGCTCTACGGCATGCATCCAACACTACACCATAGTAGAAGTAAAAATGACTGTTTACAACATGGCATTCCAGCATTTTTAACAGTGTCCTCGTCTTTTCCGACAGTGCGAGCTATTTCTCTCCAAGAATTATTAACAACATGTTGATCACGGTGATCTCTGAGAGCTGAATCATACAAATGTCTGTATTTACGAACCTCTGTCATACTAGATCTTGCCGGTCTGCCATGTTTTTCCGCGTCCGTCCGTCCGCGTGGTTAGAAAATTTCCGAGGTGCGCGTTGCGGAAATTTTGGGCCGTGCGGAGGCGCGGTGGAGGGGCGTGGATGTTAAAATGACGCGACTTTTCCGCGCGGAGCTGTGCGAACCTCGCGGACGCGTCAAGCATAAACCAACCTTGACTCTGCCAAGGTGCAGGACCAAGAGGTACAAAACAAGCTTTATTCCCGAGGCGGTAACGTTACTCAATAAGAATTGAGTCTGGCGTGGCTATTTTATTTTATTTACTTATTGTTTATTCTTCATTGATGTGTGTGCTTTGTGGCTGTGTGTATCTGTGTGTAACCTGGGCGCTAATTCTCGTGTCACTTGGCAAATCAAATTTACCTGTGGGTATTAATAAAGTTACCTTGACCTTGATTCCTTCATTAGACTTTCCAGCATCCATCCTTTCTGGTTGACTAAAGCCGCATGGTTCAAAGCGTGGGAAAAAGTAGCGGCTTATAGTCCGGAAAATACAGTATACAGTTTAAACAAGCAGCCATTATTTATTTTCGCAGCTCGTTTTGCAACTCATGCTATGGCAGATGAGGGAGAAGCAGACAGGGAGGGATTGTTTAGCATGCCTGCCAAAGAGAAGAGGGTCCATGTGCCTCACAAGTTTTTGTCCAAATATCAAGAACAGTGGCCATGCTTGCGACCCTCTAAACAACCGCAGCATGCATTTTGCACAATCTGCAATTATGATGTAGACATAAGCCACCAGGGAGCTGCAGGTAATTAGTATATTAGCCCTGGTGATGTGTGCATATGTGCTTTAAGCCAATTTAATATTACATTCTTGAGAACACAATTGCAATTTACAAAATAAATATTTACCATCAAATACATATAAATGTTTTTTTTAGTTAATTTGTATTGAAATAATTTAATGCAAGTAACTTGTATAAGCACAAATATTATATAAGGAAACTTTAGAGTTTTACTGTTTAATATTAAAATACACGATACTTTGGAGTCAGGTCAAACTGTAAAAATGTCTATAACCTTACTAGTCAAAATAAGAACTATGAACAAGTGTGTGTGTGTGTGTGTGTGTGTGTGTGTGTGTGTGTGTGTGTGTGTGTGTGTGTGTGTGTGTGTGTATAAAATTTTCCATCTAGTGAATGGGGAGATTACAGCGTGAAAAGCAATGGAGTTGCAAAAGTCCGCGAAAAAAACGCCGCACAAGTGGTACTCAAAAAATTTTGACAAGGTTGGCAAGTCTGAGTATTTTTGTGTTTGAGTAAGACCTTACCAAGAGATGGCCATTAGGGTCAAAAATCTCTGGAAGTGCAATTTTCGAACAAGCAATTCGTCAGATTGTTCAGCATCCAGCAAAAGAACAAGAACATCCGACTTCCTTCCATCACTGGCAACGATTGAAAAGGTGTAAAACAACAACTTTT